TTTGATGAGTAGCCTAGAAAAATATACTCCTGAGAGTGGAAGTTAAATTTGTTGGTGGAGTAGGGCATGAGATGAGGATAACAGGCACACCCAAAGGCCTTGAGAAGTTTGTAATCAGGTAGGCAGCCAGCCATAGAGCATGAAGTATGGGGATTTCATGCCCAAGGGAGGGGTAGGCATCCTGTTAATCCAGTATGGTCCCAGAACTGTAGGGGGAGACTTACTTGAGAAAGTAATGTCAATCCTGTTTCAACCACATGCCTGTGTTTCCTCTCAACAGTTCCATTCTGATGATGAGTATGAGGACAAGCAAGCCTGTGTGCAATGCCCTTAGTGAGAAAAACCTTGGTGAGAGGCTGTAACTCTCCTCTCATCCACCATCAGTTTGAACTACTAACCTAATGGCAGTTCTAAACTGAACCTCAATGACTGATAAAATGACTGTGAGCATGACATCAAATTTCAATTTAAGCGGAAACACCCAAGTATACTTAGAAAAGGCATCAACACAGGTCAACAAGTATTTATAGCCACAAGTTGAAGTCATAGGAGCTGGGCCCCATACATCCAAAAACAGTAAATCAGAGCAAATGCTCTGGTGTAAGAAGTGTGTGAGTGTGTACTAGGCAACCTATACACTTTGCCAAGACAGCAGGGAACACAACAATCCAATGGTGACTTCTGTGGCACTGGTACATTGCTCAACTGCAAGGTTGTTTTAAGAACTTCATGAAGAGGATGCCCAAGCCGGTTATGCCACAGATTGTAAGGAGACACACTGATAGAGGAAGCTGCAGATGTAGAACCCCTTGTGAAGCTGTTTATTGAAGCCATAGGTAGAAGAGAGTTGAAGGAGTAAAGCCCATCTTTATTAACAACACCCTGTAATACCACTTCAGAGTTGGCTTGTGTTTTGACAAAGCACTTGTGAGCATGAAACTCAAAGTACACATAACTGTCTTTAGCAAACTGGCTAACAGACATCAAGTTCTGAGTAATAGCTGGCACCAACAACAAATTATTAAGTGTGATAGGTAAACCTTGTCCATTGCCAAGTAAGACTTGATCTGTACCAGGTAAAGTCAAGATCTCAGATAGGTAATCAACATTATTTGTAACATGATGAGTGGCTCTTGAGTTTGGATACCAGACCTGAGAGAACTGTGCTGCAGCAGCAGCAGTAGCATCTGTGCCTGCACCAGTAAAATAGGCTTGTGGCTAATAAGCAGGTTTTGCAGAAAAACCAGGAGGAGGAGGACCCCTCAAGGCAAGTGCAAGCCACTGGTTGAGATTAGGAGCAGTCCACTGATTAGCAGTAGATGAAGCAGTCATAGCAGGAACATGAGCACTCTGAGTCCACTGATTCCAAGGCTGATATTGAGGGCGCTGCATTTGAGGTTGTTGCCACATGTTAGGCATCATGGAGGTATGCCTGTGATAACACACACTAGCATCATGACCTGGCTTGAAGCAAATCTGGCATTGTACTTTGTATCTCCCACCAGACCTACCACCTTTGCCCCTATGTGAGCTACGACCACCACGAAAGCCACCAGGAGACTCACCATAACCAGTCACAGCACTATAAGGAGTCTGTGCAGCTGAATCTTTAGTAACTTGACCAGCATCAACAGGTGCAGTAGGCGTGGCCTGAGCAACATTAACAAAAACTGGTTCAGCAAGAACACTCTTCTTAGCCTTCTCCAATTTTGCTTCGTGAGAGAGAAGCATAGATTCTGCTTCAATAATAGGACATAGATGAGGACGATATTGGATAATCGAAGCTAGGGCATTATACTCATCTGGTAAACCATCAAGAATCGCTTCAATCTGATCACGATGCGAAATCGGATCATCAATCGATTCAAGAACATCAACAATGCGCTGAATTTGTGCGAGATGCTCTGTAACCGTCTTCTCCCCTTTCGTAATCGTCTTTAGCTCCGATCGCAGTTGGCGCGACTTCGCATTCCTGTGCGCAAACATATACTTGTGAATCTCATCCCAAATCTGATGAGAGTGAACGCAGCGAATGACGCGAGGGAGAACAAAATCAAAGAGCGTCGTACGAAGCCATGTGAAGAGCAGCGAATCTTGTTACTCTCAGGTAACGTACGCCGGATTTTCGACGTCGTTCGCACGATCAGCTTCAGTGAGATACCTTTGAGGAATCGTCTGATTCACTAGAAGACGGTGCAGTTTATGCGTTCTGATGATCCCTTCAACTTGTTTCCAAGAACGGAAGTTGTTTTCATCAAGCTTCAACGTTATCTGTTGCGCAAAGGTCTTGAATGCGTTTTTCACGTTGAACGCCGCTGTCACCAACGTTGCTCCAGACGAGTTGTCAAAATCACCGTCGGAAGCCATGGCGAAGGAATCAAAATTAAACTCTAGATACCATGTTAGAAAGTGAACTAGGATAGAAAAGAAGAGAAAGAAGAGAATCATTCTCATTCACTAACAGAAAATACTGAGGCAGTTATAGAAATTGGTTAGGGCAAGCTTATATATCTCTCACCCAGCTATGTTGACTCAACACAGTGAAATTACAAATATACCCCTGCTATCTTACTACCACTTACTCTAATAGTACCATACTTTGTCAACTAAGGTGTCTCTGAAACTAATTTAGATCAAGTTTTGCCTATTCCCTATTTTGAGTCAAGTGAGTCCAGACCTTTACTGTCTAGTCCACCCGTTGTGATAGATGAGTCTCCATCACCGTTGAACCGATATGGCATTACCTATGAAAGGTTGGGACCACAAGATTCAACTCCCATTCCAAGCGCCTCCACCCTTGCTCCGGCTCCGTCTCCTGACTTGCCCATTGCCAATCCGTAAAGGTAATCGTTCAACCTGTAACCCTTATCCTATTTATAGTGTGTCTTATCATCAGTTATCTCCTAACTATTGTGCTTTTGTTACTGCACTTGCATCTGTTTCTATTCCTAGAACTATTCACAAAGCTTTATCTCTTCTAGGGTGGAGACAAACAATACTTAATGAAATGTCAGCTTTAGAATCTAATCATACTTGAGAACTTGTTCCTCTCCCACTTGGAAAATTTGTTGTTGGAAAATTTGTTGTTGGTTGTAGGTTGATATTTGATGTTAAGGTAGGCCCTGATGGACAAATAGATCGATTGAAAGCTCGCTTAGTGGCAAAGGATACACTCAAGTCCCCGGTCAAGATTATAGTGATGCTTTTTCTCCTGTTGCGAAGATGACATTTGTTCGCCTCTTTCTAGCCATGGCTGCCATGAAACAGTGACCTCTATTTCAATTGGATATCAAGAATGCATTCTTGCATGGTGACTTGGAAGAGGAGATTTACATGGAGCAACCTCCTGGGTTTGTTGCTCAGGGGAAGTACGGTCGGGTATGTAAATTACACAAGTCTTTGTATGGCTTGAAACAATCACCTTGGGCATGGTTTGGAAGATTTAGTAAAGTGTTGCAACAGTTTGAGATGAATCGATGTGAATCAGATTACTCTGTTTTCACCAAATGTTCATATTACATGTGATGACAACACTTATTTCAAAATTTTCAGACTAAGGATTTAGGCCCCCTTTGTTATTTTTTAGGAATTGAGGTAGCTCAATCAAAGTCAGCTATTGTTATCTCTCAAAGGAAGTATGCTCTTGATATTTTGGAAGAAACAGGTCTTACAGATTTCAAACCAGTTGACACTCCTATGGATCCTAATGTAAAGCTTATTCCTAATCACAGGGGGAGCCATATATTGATCCAGGAAGATATCGGAGACTTGTAGGAAAGTTGAATTATCTTTACCTTGACTAGACCGGATATATCTTTTACAGTCAGTTCTTGAATTCTCCTTGTGACAACCATTGGGATGCTGTTATTCGAATCCTTAAGTATATCAAAGGATCACCTGGAAAAGGGCTTGTTTTTTGTGATAGAGGCAACATTGATATCATTGGATATTCAAATGCTTATTGGGCCGGAGATGCAAGGGATATACGTTCTACATCGGGTTATTGTGTTTTTATTAGTGGAAATTTGATCTCATGGAAAAGCAAAAAGCAAACGGTCGTTGCTCGATCAAGTACAAAAGCTGCTGAGTATCGAGCCATGGCCCATGACACATGTGAGCTTTTGGGGTTAAAAATCACTTACTACAAGAACTTCATTTTTGTGAAGTCGGCTCTATGGAACTTGTATGTGACAACCAATCAGCTTTGCACCTCTCTTCGAATCCAGTTTTTTATGAAAGGACAAAGCATATAGAAGTCGAATGTCACTTTCTTAGAGAGAAGATTACCACCGGGACCATCAAAACCTCCTTTGTTAATTCCAAGGATCAACTTGCTGACCTCTTTACAAAATCTCTTCGAAGTCCTCAGATTACATAGATATGTGACAAGATGGATGCTTATGATGTATACACACCACCTTGAGAGGGAGTGTTGAGATACTATTTTATTATTATTCAGTATCCATTGCTTTTATTAGTAGTATATTTTTAGGATATTATTTAAGATATTGTATCAAATCTTTTCATAATTAGTGGGGTTGATTAGGAGGCTGAGACATATAAAATTTAATTGTAGAAACAAATCTTTATTGATGACAAATTATCTTAACAACAGAAACAAGATTAAACATACTAAAGAGAATGCACAATTCACACAAACTACAGAAATAAATAGTCTAATGTTACAAGACAATTCCTATCCAAAAAGTTCGAGAGTCATGGTCTCTCCTATCTAAGAATTCGAAAGCCTGATCTCTCTCTCCCACAACCATTCAAAAACTATCCCATAACCATTTTCTCCTTTTCTTTCTATTTATTCTCAAAGAAAAACACATATAACCCATAACTGCCCTACATAATTGACATCAATAAAAAATTACTATCCATAACTTCCATAAAAAGTCAACACACAACTATTACAAGCCTACTCCTAAAATGTTAAGAATACTGATGATATTGCAAGGCTATTTTCATCTTGTTAGAATTATGACTTATAGAAAATGCCCCGAGGCTCTTTGATGGCTAATAAACCACTAACTTGGCTAGAGATACAACACAATATGGTGGGGCATTTTGGAATTTGGAGGAATGACATGGACTATGTCAAAGTGTGACGCTTCTTATTTAGGGCAGTAAAGCTTTTGGAGGCAAATTGACTTGCTGGCTCGTGACAATGTTGACTAGGCATGAATTGTATCTTATATTATACAATATCAAGTAAGAGGAGTGTATTATTGTGAGAGGTGAGATGATTAAATACTGGCCATTGGATCAAAACAAAGAGTTGAGATTAAATCATTCATTTAAAATAGTATGTGATATCCTCAATTCCTTATCTTTGTCGTTACCATTAAAAAGAGCTTCTTTTTCATTGTTTTTCCAGTCTTTCTCACTGCCTTCCTTTAGATACACCTGATTCAATTTTACTGATCTAAGCATATTTTGGCAACAACAATCATATTCATTCGGTGACACAATAGGCATATTAATTATTGGAATCTATATATGTGAATTGTGAAATCAGACGGTTTTACTAGTTAAAGTTCGATTTTAACAACCTTGCTTAGGGAGCAGCTTTACTAAGTAGTATATTCAAATTGTGATCTATTATTTTCAAGTCTTTTATTTTTCTGTGCCTATTTATTTCTGGTGGAGATTTCATTTACGTTAACTAATTATCAACTTTAATCTTTCCCTTGGGGATGTACAGAAGGGAGCTTTCAGCATTGCTGCAAAGACTAAAGTACCAGTGGTACCAATTACCCTTATTGGAACTGGCCAAATCATGCCAGCAGGAAGGGAGGGTATAGTTAACACAGGTTTCGTGAAAGTTGTTATACATAAACCTATTGATGGAAATGATGCTGACATGTTATGCAAGGAAGCTAGAAATAAAATCGCAAGTGTGCTGACTCAAGCCTGAAAAATGTACTGCAAAATATTTCCGTAAATTTCTATTACCTGAGAATCAAACCTCTTGTGCCTTGAATTCAATTGAAAGGTAAAATGCCTATCTCTAGTACCTTGTAGCAAGAAAATTCCGTATTTTATCAGTCAACTGTGGTGAGATATGAATGTTACATAGACATGAGTTATCTTGTGATACAAACTGATTATCAAACAATAAAATTGAATAGTAATTACAATGAGTTTCCGAGAAATTCGAGAGTCTTGGTTCTCTCCCTTCCAAGAATTCGAGAGCTTGGTCTCTCCCTTCCAAATATAACCTTTTTCTAATTTTCAGCCTGCTAGAACATGGTTCTGTTTCCCTTTTTATTCTACCTAAGTTTTGTAACTGCTCCTAATAATAATAATTGTTACTCTAATAATTCTAATGGCTGCTCTTAGGCTCTCTAACTGCTACAGATAACATTTAATAAGGCTGCTCATATGCTTGTAACTGACCGAATTGATAGAATTAGAACAACCACGTTCTGTTTTGATTCCTAATAATTCCTAAAGTCTAACATCTTGTTCATGTGGTGCAGTCATGCTTTGCTTCAGTGGAACTATTTTGATTCATGTTGAATGAGTTTGCAGCTCTTCAGGCGTTGAATTCTAATCTTTGTTGAGTCATATTGGTTCCTCCACGTTTTTCTTTTATGTAGGGAGATGGAGGCCATTCCTTGGATCTGCTGATCAACATAGGGTTGATTGCCAAAGGCGGTCCAAGTGTTAGAAATGAATAATATCGATAGTCCAATTTCACAGTTTTGCAACTAATTTTTATGTATAAACTGCTTAGCAGGTTTTTACTAGTATATGATAAATCAGCCAGTTGATTTTAGTTTCCGGCTTGTGAATGTTACTTTTTAAAAAGAAATATCATTAATTAAAAAAACGGGGTTTGAATTTTCTGCGTGTATTAACATTAGCAAGATGTCACTTAGATTTAAGTTTTTGTTCAATGGTTAGAAATGAATTTTATTTATAGCATTAGCAAAATGCCACTTAGATTTAAGTTTTAAATTCTAGCGTTGAAAGGTTCTAAATAAAATTTGGAGTTATTAGTTCTATCAAATCTTGTAGAAATTCGTAAGTACCCTTTTAAATTCTATAGAGATTGCAATTCAAATGCACCAAATGCAAGAAAAATACTACAATACAAGAAATCTTTTTATTAGAAACATTTGTGAGGATTATAAATTTTAGGTAAATTTATTTTAAGTTATTATTTTAACAGGTTAGTTCTTTTAAGTTTTTTTTTTTTTTAACAATTTGGTCTTTTAAGGTGATTTATACTTCATTTTTCTTCTTTCATATTTATAAATGTTTATTGTTGTATTTTTTATACCACTCAAAATAATTGCATTCATAATTAAAGAATCAATATGTTATTAACTTAAAGGACCTCCAATATATTTTTATTTAAATTTTAAACACTCAATTGAAATTTGGACTAGTTTATAAATTCTACATTTAAACCATACATACGTGGTATTCTTTTATAATCATAACATATTTTCTTAAACCCTTTAAAAAATTTCTTATATACTTATTCAAGATTTTTGTTTGCACACATTTCTATTGTATTTTGACATTAAAAGGCATCAAATTGATTGAAATCACAAGTATTGTATTTTTTTAGAGTCCAAATCTTTTAAGAATTGATTCAGAAATTGTAATCTAGATCTTTCAGATGTTGATTAAAATTATCCTTCAGAGTGTTATACACGTTAATGTTGGAATTTTTTTATCAATAAACATGAGTATACTTTATGTGAACAAATGCTTTATTGGGTCTGCACGAGGCTGCCAAATTAAGGTTTGACATTGTTACTGGGAGATCAGATTCTGACTCTAATAAAAGACAAATATTTATTACGTTGAAATGCAAAAGAAGTGGTAAGTATAAAGAACCTATTGAAAAGTTGAAATGTGATGACAAAAAATCAAATAATACATTGATATTTAATGTGATTTCTTACATACATAATCATGGATTGTGTCATAAGTTAATTGGCCATATGATTTTATGTCGTCTGAATTTTGAAGAGAAGAAACTTGTTACTGACATGACATTGAACATATTTTCAACTTTGAAAAGGAAAAGACTTGAAAGTGTCTCAAATATGATTCAACTATACAATATTCGCCAACGAAACAACTAGGTAATAAGGGATCCAAGATATGAAATGCAACAATAGTTTAAACTGTTCGATGATGATCATTATGTATCTAGATACAAACTTCGTGAGGATGGAAAAATGTTTGAGATATGTTTTGGATTTATCTTGATTTCCTCAAGTTTTTCAACACACTTCTCACAATAGTGATAATTAATTCAACATATGAGACCAACAAATATAAGCTTTCATCTTCTAAAATTTGTTGGTGTCACTTCTACATAGATGACTTACTCAATTGGCTTTACGTCTTTGGAATGCGAAAAAGACGATAATACACATATGCTTTAGAAATATGTTGGAATATGTGCTGGAAAAACTCAACAAACATGCTATGTGTGATTGTCACTGATCGTGATGCCACACTGATGAATTAGGTTACAGAGGTGTTGTACCCCAAAATTTTCCCTTCCATTTTCATTCAAGACATCCTCATAGGGTTCTCAAATGCTCAAGGTTGCCCAAGAATTGATCAGACAAATTCTCCTCCTAAACAATGGATCCACAACTAGGATTTCACTTTTCACAAGGAAGTTTGGATTTCAAAGGTCTTAAATGGAATTCATGGTATCTTATATGTCTCCAAGAATGCTCATACCAAATTTCAAGCCTTGCATCACAAGTTTGCTCAATCAATGGTTCAGATGACTGAAAACTAACTATATTGGGTAAAAAGTCAACCGTGGTCAACATACAATCAAACTTCAAAATTTTTGGTCAACATCAACATTTTTAAGTCATATTCATCATTTGATCAAGGATTGATCATGATTTCTCAAGAAAAGCTCTCAAATCATCAAAAGTCAAAAGTTGTCAAATTAGGGGTTTCTTAGGAGAAGTCAACTAAACTTTGACCAAGCATAACTTTCACATACTTCATCAGTTTTGCCCCAACCAAAGCTCATTTTGAAGGAAATTCAATTCTCTACTACTTTGAATATCTAAGCTCAAGTCTAAAAAATGTATCATTTGAGAGATATGAGCTCATACATTATAGGTCATTTCAAAAGTCAACAAAAGACATTTTTTATCAAGGCAACTTACATCAAGATAAAGTCTTAAAAAGAAAAAATGATCAACTTAGAGATTGTAGAGGATATCTTGAGCTCTCCAAAAAGTCCAAGACCACCTTCAAAAGAAGAAAATTGAGAGAGTTATGACCAGTGCAAGTTAGGAAATTTTCAAATTGAGTAAACTTGATATTTTGGACTATTGGGCCATTGTTTTAAGGTCCAAACGTGTATTATACTCCTCATACACCTCAAATGTTGTTCATACACCCCTTGACTTATTTTTATTTTAATTATTTTGATTTATTCATTAATATTTCATAAATAAATAAGATAAAATATAGGCCTTTCTTACAAATACCAAGCCCGTATCTTTGCCTTAATTTCAACCTATATAATCTAATCAATTCAGACATGAACCCTTACACACGAAAACCTTGCCTCAAAACTTGTAAAAAATATCAAACTTTTCAAGAACCCTAAACAACTTGAAATTCAGTTTACAGTCCCTTTCATTACAAACTAGCCATCCCAATCAACCCCAGGAAGATCATAGGGTAAGATTAGATCTTTTACAATGACCCAAACGGCCAGGAAGTACTTGTGCATGCATCACGATTCCATCCCTACTTGAATTTCACTTTTTTTCTTTTCGTTTTTACTGAATTCTAACATTTACTGATGCTTATCATGTGTTTATGAGATTCAACTGTGCAGGAATGACCCATCGTGGAGGTCTAATGCTTGCCAAAACGTAACACACCATAGCTACCTCAATCTACATCATTTTCTCCATAGCTCTTAAACCAGACCGTTTTAGCCTAAAATAATCACCCCATCAAACTCGCAGCCCTCGATTTAGGGGGGTAGGGTATTTTTGGCTTGCTAACCTATTATGTTTTGCAGGTTTGACAAAAATAGGTTACCAGAGAAGACGACCAGAGCTAGGGCTCCGGCGCCTCTCCGGTTCAGGTCACATTGTTATATTATATATGTTTTGTTTCAGGTAAATTAATGGATGTATCACCGCCCCAGCGGTTGAAGTGCACGCGTTAAGGTATTGGTATAAAAGGGCATGAGTTCGATACGGCCATTTGTCATTTATTTTCGTTACATTTTCATATTTTGCAGGGTAGTTTACAAAACACGCTGAAGCCCTCTGCTATCACCAAAGCGCGCTTGGCCCAGTGGTGGACATGTTGGCTGAAGGTTCCAAGGGCGTGGGTTCAACACCCACCCCTATCAATTGGTTCTTTTCCTCCTAAAACCTTTTTTTACAAAACCTTTCCAAATAAAACTTTTTAATTTAATAAACCCTAATTTAGTTTTTTTAATAAATTTGACCCTAATTAGTTTTTAGGTCTTTATTTGATAAATTAATTTATTTTTTTAGGTTTTTTTACTAATTATTTTCCTTTTAATTAAAATCGACTTATATCTTTTTATAGGTTTTTTCAATTTATTTTTAACTAATTAAAATCAATTAAGTCACTAGGTTAATCATCAAACATTTTTTATCAAACAATCACAAGACGATTTCCTTTTCCTTTTACTTTCGCGTATTTTATTACTTTCGCGTTTATTTCCAATTATGTATCTGTTTACGGTTTGTAATAGTTTAATTAGGGTTTTTTCTATTTCCCCCCGTTTTAACTATTTGTACCCCCATTCCTGAAGCCTCGTAATAGTGTAGGATTTTACTTTTCTGCATTTATATGTTTATGCCTTGTATATAACTGTTAGATGTATGCTAATAGGGTTTGTATGGCAAGCTTAAAAATAATTGT